CCTCCCCTCGCCGCACCGCCGCACCGCCGCCCCGGAGATCGATACCCCCAGCTGGCTGGTCCAAGAGCCAAGCAGCCACGCAGCCACGCCCAGCCAGCGACCTCGGGCCTCGGGCGCGGCATGCCCAGGCACCACCTGCAGCTGCTGCAGCTGACGCGGCGATGCGCCCTGCTCGGCCCTGCAGGCCTGTGGCGCCGCACGCAGTCTCATCCGTAGGGGGTACAATTATCGCGCGATGGTCGTACCCCTTCAAGTCCGACCGGAAGCTGGTACAAGCATCCCGCGATGAATGTACCCCCCAGTCCTGCCGGGGTGGGTGCAACCAACTTGGGGCACATCCATCGTCCCGCACCGGGGTGGGCTAGTAAGCGCGCAAGTGGAACTAGTTGCGTAACTAGGTAACTAGTTTCTGGTGAATGGAAGCCCGAGTTTGACGCCCACCTGCGTGCCTGCGGCGGGCTTCCCCGCTGTCACATCGGCGACATGCCGGCCGAGTCGGGCCGAGTGGCGGGGAGGGCCTCGGGGAGGGCCTCGGGGAGGGCCGTCTGCGGCCGGGGGCTGCTGGCTGCATCCCCTGATAGCGAGCCACTGCCGCCGCCGCCCCGGCCGCCCCGCGGACGCCGTGCCACGCTGTGCTCCGCGTTGTGCGCCGAATGGCGACCACCGCCGCTTGTCTGTTTGATGTCCGCCTCGCCCCTGCCTTCCTTCCGGCCGCCCCCGCCCCCGCCCCCGCGGGCTACAATCCCGCCCCTTCCCCTGCCTCCCCCTGCCGTGACCTGCTTTTTCCCGGCACTCGCCTCATCCCTCCTCATCGCTTTTTTCCGAGCCGTGTCGTCGTTTTGCGGCGGCCGGGCTGGCCGACTCATTCGCCGCTCTGTCTCCCTCGGACTCGCAGACCGCGCCGTATCGCCGCGAGAGAGGAAGAGCGACCAAAACGACCTCCGGGACGAGTCTGCCGGCTGGCCCTCCTCCGCCCAGAGCGATGGCTGGAGAGACTCAGAGTCTGCAGTGGGCCTCTATTCGCAGGGCGACGGCGCGGGCCGTTATTGGCACGCCGTCACTCTAATAGCAGTGCCGTTGCCGTCTGCAGTGAGCCTCTATTCGCAGGGCGACAGCGCGGGCCGTTATTGGCACGCCGTCACTCTGATTGCAGTGCCGTTGCAGAGTGCAGGGGAGGCGAGTGTAAACAGGTTGATGAAACGGAGACGTCGACGCGAGCCATCCTGGCCGTCGTCCTGGCCGTCGTGGACGCCGAGGATATTTCGACTGCCCCGGTGACGTCCCCGGCAAACAGCAGCTCGATAAGTCAACATGATCAGCTTCACGGCGGGGGGGAGGGGGAGCGGGAGGGCCGCCCCGCGCGCCCCGGCCGTGTTGGCACGGTTGGCACGCGAAACGCGCACCGGCTCTCCAGCCGATAGGAGCCGTGCCAGTGTGCCAGACCCAGCAGATGATGTACTGGCGAAAAAGCATTCGAAACTAATACCGATAGATGTCGACACTGCAGTCCCCGCTGGCAGTCGGGTCCCGATCCAGGGCTTTTTCTGGTGCAGGAGTCAATTCGAGAGTGGTCAGCGAGTTCCCTTTTCTCTCTGCCAGTGAGTTACCGCGGCGGAGTCCATGAAAAAGCTCCTGGCCGGGGTCCCACTGTCGTTCGAGCGAACTGCAAAATGAAAAAGGGGCCCTGGCGTGCCTGGCGTGCCTGGCGTCCGAAGTCCGACCGAAGTCTCTCCCCGGTCGCCTCTTTGACACTGCGTGATCAGCGCGCCTCCGTCGCGGACGTCACCATCGATTTCCTGCCCGACGTGGCTCGGCGTGGCGGCGCGGCGGCGCGCCCCGCTCCCCAGCGTCCCATCAGCCCTGCCGGCGGGGCGGCACGGCGGGCGGCACGTCGGGCGGCGTTGGGGTTGCGGGCTGTGCGCTGGCGGTGCGCTGGCGCTGCGTTTGTGCGAATCAAGAGGTGCACAGCAAACACAGTCCCGGCCGGGGGCAGTGGGAGGGGCCGTCCTGGCCGTCCCGTCCGCACACAGGACCGTAGCGCGCCAGCGCCTGGCGGCGCAGAGCTGCACGGCTTTAATAATTCGTGGCTTCGTGGCAGCGCGGCTGGCTGCCTGGCTGTCTGGCTGGCTCCCCAGGGATTGGGAGCAAGGCAGCGGATTGCCCCGCCAGCCTGGGCTGGAATATTTTCCCTCTTCTTTCCCTCCATAATCCGCGCGGAAAGTTGCTCGCCACTTGCAGTGCAGTGCAGCGTCGGCCGGTGCCAGGCGGCGCCAGGCGGCGCCAGGCCACTCCAATGAGAAGACAAGACGGCGAGACGGCCCGCTGGATCTCAGGGTCCTTCATTGTGGCGCAGAGAAATGAACAAAACTTGGAAGCGGAGCTCCGCGGCCGTCGAGCGGCGCCTTCCCGAACGACGCCCTCTAGTGCAGGGCCATGAGACGGCCGCGGGGGCGGCTGGGGGCGGCTGGGGGCCAACAAAGGCGATGGGGATCGCGCCGAGGATCAGGGGCAATTCCCGTGTCGTCCGCGTCCCGTGCTAGGGGCTTCGGCTCACCGTGTGGAGGGTCAAGGGGTGCGGGGCGCGGCCGGCGGCCTCGGACACGAGGGGGCGGTGGGGAACCGCATGATGCTCCATCAAGGGATTGGAGCGGAGCCCTGCTGAGCCGGGGGGCTGTTTGGGGTCACCTGCCGGGGGGGCGGGGGCGCAGCAGTGGTGGCCCCGATGGGGTCCAGCCAGAGGACTGCGGCGTGTGTGTGTGTGTGTGTGTCCGCCGGGGTGGGGGAGCCTGCAGTCTGTGGGTATATGAAAACGGAATGGGGAATTTAAGAGCTGGCTTCTCACCAGCCGTCGTGATATTGAAGTGCGAAAAAGACGAACTCTCTGGGCCTCGTGCATAAAACGTGAAAACGAAAACGCGAAAACGAAAACGCGAAAACGAAAACGCGAAAACGAAAACGCGAAAACGAAAACGCGAAAACAAAAACGAAAACGCGAAAACGAAAACGAGGATTTCTGGCTCTTTCTCAATATCCTCGTTGTCGTTTATTATCTTCCGGGGTCCGGGTAAATTACCGTTTCTTTACCGGTAAATTTACCAGGCTTTAAATCTCTAAGTGCCTCCGTCGCCGAGGCTATAGCGCCTGCTGGGTAGGCAACCAGAAAGCAGCCGTGTTCGACGGGACTGCCTAGCACGGAAGTCTCAGGCGTCCGCCGAGCCTCCTGTCTGCATTATTCAAACGCTTATTGTCGAAGCGTAGTTGGTCTAGACGTCAGATCCTCAGTCGGTGGCTTTGTTCGGCCGGCTTTCGGTTTCGAATCTGGCGCTGCAAGAAAACAAAGAAAAATAAAATTGCACTTTCTCCGCTTCCAGTTTAAGAAAATTCTGCGCCAAGTCCACTCCGTTCGCTTGGCAGAATATCCAGCGTCATTTGGGCCCCGAAAAGTGTGGCGGGGTGGGGCGGGGCAGGGCGGGGCAGGGCGGGGTGGGGCGGGGCGGGGCGGGGTGCGGCGGGGGCCCCGAATGGACGTCATTACAACGGACGTTAATGAGCAAAGTTTTCGCCACATGAATACTTCAAGTGGAATGGCGCGGCGGACGTCGAACTGCTGGCCGTGACATTGCGGGGCCGGGGCGGGGCGGGGCGGGGCGGGGCGGGGCGGGGTGGGGCGGATTCTGATGCGTTATCAGATTTCAATCGCTTTAGCGTAAAATTAGCGTGCGCATGCCTTTGTGGCACGTCAGCGGCGCTATAGGGCTGCGGTGGGCGGAGAGGGGGGTTAATAGGCAGGGGCCGTGGTATGCGGGCGGAGCGGGAGCGGGGCAGGTAAAAATGAACTGTCAATGTAGTGGAAGAGGAATGACTGCGAGGGGTTCCGGATAAATTGAACAAGTGGGCGCCCGATTGTTGTTGTTTTTGTCGTCGTTGTTTTGTTTCCGGCCGGAATGGGCGGTGGGCGGCCCCGTCGATGAAGTAGTGCAATTATTGCCGGCCGCCCGGGAAGCGGATTAGGGAGTGAATAATGATGTGAATGTGAATGTGTCGGAAATACGCTTCCGCGGTGTGCGTGCTGGCAGTGCTGGCAGTGCTAGTTAGGGCGGAGGGTGGCGGTCGCTGCGGTGGCGGTTCGCCGCGGTTCGCTCCCCTGTCGAAGTGCCGCACGGCGCCGTGCTTATGCCCCTGCAGTGCCGCGGCGCCGCGGCCATGACGCGCCAAAGCCCTGGCAATCCCTCGCTGCGGCTCGCTGCGGCTCTGGACGCCGCTCCGCAGCGGGTCGCTGTTACAGCGCGGCCGCTCCAGGGCACGGTTCCAGGAGGTTCCAGGCTCCAGCCAGGGATCCAATTTCCTGGGCAGGCCATGGCCAGGTGACGGGGCGCGGCTCATTGCTGCTTATTAATTAGTTCCAGGGACAATTACTGTTGGCAACTCCCGCCATGCCTCATGCCTTGCCTCGCCTTGCCGTGCTGCGGACCGAGGGCCGACCCGGCCCAGCCCAAGCCCCTCGTCAAGGCCTCCAGGCAGGCTGGCTATCCAGTGCGGCGACCGGCCACGGACCACATTCACGGCTTGTCACCGAGCCCCCCGCAGTGCCTGGCAGTGCCCCGCCGCTCGGGCCCTGGGCTTTCGCTGCGCGTAATGACGGCGTGGGGCCGAGGCGGCCGGGCGGCGCCCCGAATAGGGTTCCGAATCAACATGCAGCGGCCGGTGGTTGAATGGGGCGGCCCGGCCGGCCGGCGCGATGGGACGGGGCCGCCTGATGAGGGACTGCCGGTCCAGCAGCACCTCGTTTAGTTTCGGAACAATTTCGCGAACCTTACCAACAAACAGTTTAGGCAGGCTGCAGGGCCGACAAGATGAGTTTACGCTGGTTCGTGTGTAGAGATTTCGCGGGATCCCCGACTCTGAGGGAAGGCTATGACCGACAGCTAGATTGGAAGCTCAAACGCAAAGGACATTGTGACAACTTGAAAACTGACATTTTCCTTTCTCTCTTTTTGCAGCTTTCGCAGTGACGTGGGCCCCGCCACCGTGATGTAGCGCCAGGTGAGCAACAGCGGGGAAGCGCCGCCAACTTGGCAAAGTGAATCGCGCCCTGTCCTTATCGCCGCCCCGCCCCGCCCCGCCCCGCCCCGCCCCCACACGGCCCAATTCCACGCCGGTGCCCTTTACCGTGTTCCCAGCCAGCCATTCGCGGGGCCACTCGTCCGTGCCGCGCGTGACACTCGGTCGCTGGCGCTGGCGCGCTTCCTGGGCGGCCGGGTGTCCCAGAGCCCCCCGAGCCCCGCCGGAGTCCCTGAACGCAAAACCGCACAAGAGGAGGGAAACTGACGAGCAAATCGATGACGCCGCGGAACGCCGGAAACGGCGTCTATTCGCGCCAAGTGCATAGCATTGTGCCACGCGCCGCGCCCGCGGCAACGCTCGAGCGCCGCCCGGGAACAGTAATTAAAATTTAAATATTAAATTGTGTTGAAGGCGTCGCCCGCTGCCTGCTCATTACCGCGTCCCGAAAGTCACGTACGTCTGTGTGTGTGTGTGTGTGTGTGTGTGCGCGCGCGCGCGTCGGAAACATTAAAAGCGGCGAGCAATAGCGCGGACGCGTCCTCGCGCCGCTCTCATTATGCCCATAAAGGGTTGCGACTCCCGGCCGCCACGGCCGGCGCGTTCCTGGAAGGGAAAAAGAGCCGGTAAGGGCCTGCACTGTCTCCCTCTCCCTCGCACGCCCACGGGACGCCGCACGCATGTGTGAGAGAGGAAGAGAGGGCGACCGAAAGAGGCAGGCACACTGTTAGTGCCCCGGCGAGGGCGTCGTCCGACGTGCAGCAAGCAGGACAGGCGATCGCAGGGGAGAAACAACGGCGAACGAACCGGGGAGGGGGGGGGGGACTCGGCAGTTACTATAGGGGCGTGTGTGCGGACGCCGGCACAGGTGCGGAGCGCCGGGCGGAAGCCAGGGGAGGGGGAGGGAGGGGGAAAGGGAGGGCCCTGGCGACAGAATGGCTCAAGGAGTGCGCCAGCGCGCCCCCACACTGTGCCGGCTGGCCTGGCCGTGTTGTAGAGGCGCTCGTAAAAGCGGGAACGCCGCGTGCGAATCAGCCCCGCGAGGGAGGGGACTGTGTTGCTTCTTGGCGCGTCCCGGCGGGGCGGGCGGGGGATGCGAATTAGGAGGAAAGAATATTCCCGTTTCGGCGTGAAGGATCGCTGCTGTTGCTCGGCAGAGTGAAGGCTCGAGGCTCGGCGTGCCGGCCAGGCCAGGCTTTCGCAGGGTTCTCCCTCCTCCCCGCGCCGTGGAGCGCCGTGGAACGCCGTGCCCGGTAGGCCACTTTTTTCGCTCTCCGCGGCCGCCAGACGTTGCCGGGGCCGGAATCCCTTGCCGGCCTTGCAGGCCTTGCAGGAAGAGGGAGTCCTGCACCGCGAGGCTCCGCCAGGCATCTGCAGTCCAGTCCGGAACAAGCAGCGAGATGCATTCCACGGGCCGCTGGAGCGCTGCAGCAGGGCGAGGCATTCCAGGATGCGCAGCGTGCGGCAGCGTGCGGCAGCATGCGCAGTGAGAGTTTCGCTGGACAGCGCGGCCCGGAGAAAGGGGGCGAGGGGAGGGGGGAGGCCAGGTGCAGCGGCAGTATGGGTACCGCCGAGTACCTCGCGGCAGGCGGGCAGGCAGGCTGGCAGCCAGGCCGGGTAGGCGTAGCGGCGGCCGGGCCGGCAGCCCGAGCTGGCAGCCAGGCAGGGCCCCTGGAGGCGCGCTTGGTGCCGGAGCGAAGGCCCTGCCCGCCTGGAGTCCGCCTGGAGCCGCCAGTCCTGTGCTGGAAGCGCTGGAAGCAGCGCCGGTCGGGAGGTTGTCGAGCCTTGTGGTGCGCGAGGTGCTGCGGGCACTCCCTTGCCCAGCCCAGCCCAGGCCGGCCAGCTTGGAGCGTCGTGTCGCGTCCAGCAGTGTGTAGGTGTGTGCTAGTGTTGGTGTCCGTGGCGTCGGGTTGCAGTGTGGCGGTCGTTCCGCCTTGTGACACGCCCTGCGCCTCGGCAGCCTCGGCAGCCTCGGGCCTCCGCCTCGCGGGCCTACACTGTCCGCGCCCCAAAGGATTAATACTGCAACGCCACTGCGATCCTGGAGTCCTGCCGTCCTGCTCGAGGGCCTCCTTCGTGATCCCCGCCAGCTCGATCGCGGGCCGGCCTCTGGAAGCAGGCCGGCAGGCCGCTTTGGAGCGTGTTCCTGGCGAATAAGACGCCCAGCGTGGACGCCCCTCCATTCGTCCGTCCGTCTGTCTGTCCGTCTGCCTGTCCGTCCGCCAGGCCGCTGCACCGATATGGTCAGGACAAGGGCCAGGGCGGCCAGGGCGGCCAGGGCGGCCAGGGCATGGCCATGCAAGGCTGTGCGCATGGCGGCCGATGGCGGCAACCGTGACAGCTTCATTGCTTGAGTGGAAAAGTGCCGGCAGATCTACTATTTCACCCGCATTGACTACGACGTGGGGCGGGGCCGCATTGTTGTGCTTTTTTTGGGGGGAAAAGTTTAGATTACCGTCGAAGACCAGTTATGTGGGCGCGCTGCAGGCCGGCTGGACCGAAGTGAGGTGCTGCATCGGCAGCCCACGTGTTGCCGGCCACGCGCGTGGGCGGGGCAGGCTGCGTGAGTGTGTGTGAGTGTGTGTGTGTGTGTGTGTGTGTGTGTGTGTTGTGAGCGTGTGCGTGTGTGTTTGTTGTTGAATGAGTGAGTTTATTGTATACCGTACATGCTTGGTTGAAGGTGTGCAAGCGCGTGTTGTGTTCTCACGCCGTGCAAGGCGTGTGTGTGTGCGCGCGTGTGTGTGTGCGCGCGTGTGTGTGTGTGACTCATCAATGTGCTTCGCTGCACAACGCAGCGCTTTTTTGCGCACTGTGTACAACAGCAGCTTCCCTTTCATCGCCTTATCATCGAGTCTTAAAAAACCGCTTAGTAATCTCCACTTCCAATCCTCGGACAATTAATAACGCCGCATTATTCTTGTCCCTTTTTTCCTTCTCCTTTTTTTGTGCGCGTGAAGGGAGAGTGCGGGATGATTACAAAAAGATGAAAGCCTCGGAAGCCCTCCTAGTCTCCACCTGTTGGCAGAGGCCGCGTGCGCTAGGGCCTGCTTGTTCTCCTCCGGGCTGGTCCGTTTAGCTGAGCGCCTCACAGTGGGCCAGAAGACCGGCGCAGGCGGCCAAAACCCAAGACGCCTAAACAGGACTCGAACCGAGCGTGTGACCCCACCAATGGATTCCTCGTTCGGAGAGCAATTCATTGGTGGGGTCACACTTTCGGTTGGAGTCCTGTGTCGTGACTGTGGAGCTCAAAACGCGTTTGGCGTTTTGACCGCGGCCACCACTGTGCGCCTCCAAGCCGGCCTCGTTCGTCCCTGGCAGTTCCTATGGGGCCTCGCCTGCCTTGTCTGCCTCATCTCGCGCGGCGGTCCCCTCCGCTAAAGAAAGGCGCGTCGTTTCCCCCGAAGCGGAGAGAGGCGGAGGCATTTTTCCATCTCGCCGTGCCGCCGCGCCGCGCCGCGCCGCCCCTTCCGGTTTGCTGCAGCGACTTAGCGCCTCGTGGAGTGTCGCCCTATTTGGAGGGGAATCCGGGCCGAGGGCGCCGAGGGCGCCGAGGCCGAACCGTTGCTGGTGCCTTGGCGGCTCAAGGGCCGGGGCAAGGGCCGGGGGAAGGACGAGGGACGCGACGGATCGCCCTCGGCTTCTTGTCTCCCGATTCCTCGGAATGCCGAGCCGAAAGCCCCGCTGGCTTTGAATTGGACCAAACCGCGGTCGGTCGGCCGGCAAGCGCCCGCGGCGCCATGGAAGCGGCGCGCGCGGCCCGGCCGGGGCGCTCCGTCGTCGCGCTGTCTCTCTCGGGCCTCTAGCGCGACGAGGCGCCCTGCGAGAGCGAGTGAGATAGAGCACTGCTAATACCGCTGCGCCTTCTCTAATCTGTCGGCCCGCGGGTCGGGAGGTCGCCATCATGGCGGTGGAGATGTAGCGGTGCTGCCGCGCGGGGCCGGTAGATCCTTCCATCGCAGCGCCCCGCCCGCCCCGCGCCGCGCGCCCCGCGAGTCCTCGACCCCGACCGGTACCTTTCCCCCTCCCACACTCAACTTGATTCGGCTCGGCGCTGCCCCATTTTCGGCGGTGTACGTCCCAAAGCCGCTCTGCTAGCGCTGCTGGTCCAGGCCTGCCTTCCTCGCGGCTGAGCCATGCAAATCGCAGTGTGGTGACGCTGGGCTGCTGGCTGCTTTGGCGCGCTGGTTCTTGAGTCCTTCGCGCTGGCTCCGCACAGAACCACTCTAGAGTTGGCCCAGCCCGCCCAGCCGTCACACCGGAGAGAGCCCGGCGGGTGAAGTAGAGCTGCTCGCATTTCCAAAGGCCGGCCGGCGATGGTATTCGAACCCGGGGCTGTCCAATCAGCCCCGGCCGGGGGGCAAGCCGGGGAGGGAGACGCAGTGGAGTGAGAGGGAGAGAGGGGGGGGGTCTCTCCAAAGTTATGGGCCACTCCAAAGGGCCCTGCCCTCCACCCCGTTGCATTGCGCTGATCGAAGGCTTGTTTGTCTGCGGACGCCGAGGTGGGCTTCAGCTTCGGAGCCTCGTTGTTGTCGACCGGCAAACAGAACTCCAGCGGCGCTGCCTCGGTGCAGCACTGGAAGAATGTTTGCATCGAGAATCGATTGCAAAAAAGTTGTCGCCGCCGCCGGGGATCGAACCCGGGACCGGCTCGTTCGTTACCGCCGACCGAACAGACTCGCCGTCGCCCTGCCCCGCCCGCCCCTGATCGCAAACAAACACATTAAAGGCTGACGAGCTCATCATTACGGCGTCCAACTTTCAGAGGAGCGACCCGGCGGATCGGTCGTCGTGTCGCGTCACCTGGAGAGAGAAATTGCCTTAACTTTGGGGCGGAGACGGCGGAGACGGCGGAGACGCTCGCGGCCAGATTACGGTGTCGTCCTCGCCCTTCCATTTTTCGCGGCCCCGTCCCGCCCCGCCTTGCCGTCTCGAGTCCACGTCGCCGATCGCCTGATCTTCAAACGGCGCACCGCTTTGGCGCCAAAAGACGCCCGGACGATCGGGACTACGACGGCGTGCTCGGCGGCAGGGTCAACAACGCGCCTCTCGCTGCGTGCCGCTGCGTGCTCTGCACCCTGGAGAAAAGTGAAGAAAGTTCCTTCCCGTCGGCGAGGCGGGCCAGGCCTTTGGGCCAGGCGTCGCGTCGTGTCGGGGCAGTTTATAAGAAAAACAGATGGCGCCGCCACCCGTGTGCTGCGCTTGCCTGCTTCGACGACCCGAGCCCTTCCCCTAATTTTGTCACTTTTTATGTTTTGTTTTTCCCCGCCGTACGTGCGTGTTGTTTTTGATGTTGTTGTTGTGGTGGTACGCGTGCGGCACGCAGCGCGGAGGGCTGTAAGTGCGCGGCCGCATTGGTGATGTAAAACGGTAAACGGAGCCGTTGGGGCCGTTGCATATTCGTTCTTGTCACACGTCTGTCGCCACGTCGTGTTTACTGCACTCACACACTCCCACACACACAGACTCGGCGAAAGGTTGCGGCAGGTTTATGCGCCCTTTCGTCTTTTTTCCGTCTGCATTATCATTTTGATAAACGCGGCGAGTGCTTTATGGCGTGTGTGAGTTATTGCACTCGCGTGGCGCGCACCGTGCGCACCGGCCAAATAGATTCCTCGGTTGTTCCCTCGCTTTTCGTGGAGCCGGCCGCCGGGATTCGGGTTCGGATTCGGATTGGGCCGTTCGCCCGCCGCGAGCACACTGGGAAATAAATTAAGACGGAATCCCTCGCGCGCTTCGTACCCCTCGCCCTGTCTCTCTCGCACGCGTGGAGCGGCCCGTCGGGGTGCGAGAGAGACAGAGAGACGAAATCAACTCTGTTATTCGGAACGGCTCTTCCGCCCACCCCTGGACTTCGACAACCCTCCTTAAAAAGGGGTTGCGGAATGAATTAAAGGGCCGGTCGCGTGCTGCCGGGTCCGCGCGCCGCGTCAAGGCATTGCTCAACGTCACCGGCGTCGCCGCCGAACGTGCGCGGGGCTTTTCAAGTCGGAAGCGCCACGAGTTGAAACACCAATCCCCCACTCCACCCCCTACTTTTCGAACCGCTCGCCCGGAGTGCCCCCTCCCCCGCGACGGCCCGCCCGAGGCCCGGCCCGAGGCGACTTCCGGCTGATCTCGTCCGCCCCGACAGCGCGACAGCAGATCGCCCCCCCCCCCCCCCCCCGCGTCACTTAACGGAGCCCGATAAATTAATTTATCTCTCCCGGACTCGCGCGCCCGCTTCGCCACACACACACACCCTCCGCTGTCCCTCTCAATAAAAAGCAAAAACCACGAAAACAACAACAACATCAGCAAAAACGAAAATGGCGGTATTGGTGTTGTGCCACAGAAGCAGTGGAGTGGCGCCGTGTGGCCGCGCAGCCATCGCCACCGCACCGCGTTCGCTCACTCCCACTTCCACGGAGGGACTTCCAGGGAAATCAGCCTGGACGCCAAAAGAGAGGAACGGAATGTATTGGCCCTCGACACTGGCAGAATCAACAACAACAACAACAGCGCGGAGCCACGAAGCCACTCTATTGAGGCGTTTGCGGGTGTCGGCAGTACTCAGTGGTATGGATCTGGTCGCGGGGTTTCCCGCGTTGTCGTTCGATAGAGACGAGGGCAACGTATAGTCGGACGACAGGACAGGCTGACTCTGCCACTACGCGAAGCCGGGCCGGCCGGTAGTTCTGCGCCCTCTTCCAAACAGTCGGAGAAAAATAACTGGAAGGAAAAGAAAATGGGAAACTGAGGGAAAGGAGGTGGCTAGGTGGGCGGAAGCGGCGGCGCGGCGGCACGGCGAGAGTAACGAGTCTTCTTTCCTTTCTTTTGTCCCGCCGCCCCGAGGCTGGCCGGGCTGGCCGGGCAGGCTGGCCGAGCCCCCCCGCTGATTGATGGACTGCTGGCAATTATTTTTATCCGGCTGGTGGAGCGAGAGGGAAGGGGGCACGCTCCGAATTTCGCAGTCGTCATTTCTACTTTAAGAGGGTTATTATTATTTTTCCCACCTTTTTCTTTTATCAGCCTCCCCCATGCCACCGCGGCGGCGGTCGTTGGGAGCACCATGGAGGGGGGGGGGGGGGCGGTGGGCGCGCTAGCGGATGATGGCGCTCGGAGCCCGACGCGGCGCGAAGTGTATCGAGGCCGTCGAGGAGAAGCATCGCGATGATGGAGAGCGCCGTGCAGCAGATAGAGGCCCGACGGTTGCCGAAGGCCCCGCCATCCGTCAGCGGGACGCCGCGCGGACAAAGAGCACGCCGTCGAACACGACCCTCCGCGATTATACGGCACGCACCTCGCTCCTCTTTCCGGGACCGTTGCTGTTTTTGATTTCCGATTTCTATCTATTTTGGGTCCCTTTTCAGCACCCCGCGTGGTTGGACGGGCGTGGTGGGGCCACGCTGCAGACCGCCCGCATTCCTGAGCACCCCGATCGTAACGCGGTGGAAGCCACCCCACCCCGCCCCGCCCCGCCTTTGACAACGTATCGCGCCCTTTGGGGGAAATAAAAGAAAAAGACTCCGGCGGGGACACAGCAGCGCGGCGTCGCGGCGTCGCGGGGGCAGCGACCGCACCCCGCCGATAACGGGCAGGGCTTTCCGAAAATGAGGCCCGGGTAGGCTGGGCCTCGTCGTCCTCGTCCTCGGGGAGCAGGGGGAGCCGGCGGCCGCACGCGTTCTGGACAAGCCGAGACAAGCCGAGGCAAGCCGAGGCAAGCCGAGGCAAGCCCGCCTCCAGCATGGCGTCTAGCCTAGCGTCTAGCCTGGCGTCTGGCAGCGTGTGGCCTACAGTGCCGCCGGGCACGACGGCCTGTGGGTGAGGCGAGAGACGCGGTGGAGGTCATACTCATACAGTACTGTACTGGGAACCGCTGCCCGCTCCGCTGCTCCGCCCCCGCCTGCCGGGAAAGGAGTGGACTCGTATTTTAGAGCTGCACTCCGAGTGGAATGACCCGGCCTGGATTAAAATGTGGTTTCATTATTCTTTGTACGAGTGTGTGTGTGTGTGTGTGTGTGTGTGTGTGTGTGTGTGTGTGTGTGTGTCCGCGTCAGAGTGTGTGCCTGTGTGTGAGCGTGTGTCGGTGGGAAGAGGAAATAAATGACAGACGCGGACCGCGAAGGCGAAACAGAAAGGCTCCGTCGTGTAAGCCTCTCCCCGGAGAAGGACGGACGGACGGCAGACGGACGGAGGGAGGGACGGCTGTCCGCGACACTGCCCATGACGCCACCACGGCCCTGTGCCGCCCTGTGCACAGCATGCCCCGCTCCCCGATGGCCCCGTAGAGGCCCGCCAACGGCCGAGAGCAGGACGTCGAGGACCTCGGCCGGGACGCCGCCTTCGGGCGCCTTCGCCATGACGAACGACACGACCTCCGCCCCCGCGCTGGAGGCCGCCGCCGCCCCCATGATGAAGACGGGGGGCGGGGGGCTGGCGGCGGGGCTGGGCGCCGACGTGTCGAGGATACCGCGGAACAAGCTGCTCTCCCACCGGAAGTTCCCGAACGGCACTCTGGCCGGAAGGACGCCGACATCGACGCCGTCCTCTGGGGACAGCACGTCCCCGAAGACTGTCCTGCCGGCGGCGTCGACGCCGCCAAAGAACAACAACCGTGACACCTTCACCAAGGCCTTCCTGGCGCAGAACGGCCGCGTGGCCGAGGGTGAGTCCGTCTGGGGCGTGGTGGTGGTGGTGGTGGCGGCGGCGAGGGCCCAGCCCCAGGGGCTGTCAAAATATTTGACGTGACACTCGATGTGAGGCCGGCAAGGCGGGCACGGCGGCCAAGGGTCCGAGGCCGCGGCCCCTGAGGGGACCTGAGGGGACCTGTTGAACACACTTGGCACCCCTCGTAGGACACAACATGCACCGCCAATCGGCAATCCCGAGCAAACAACGACGTGAAACCTCATCAATGTGTTCCCTGGACATTAGAAATTAGAAAATGGAAAAAAAAAATTGGAATTCTACACCCCTATTGAAATGCAAGCAGTGGTGGTCGAGAAAGCCACTCGTAAAATGTAAAGATTTGCTGGGAGTCGAACCCCAGCCCCTGGAGGTGCGGGTCGACGCCTCTGCGCGTTCAGCCGCCGCTGATTCTAGAGACTATTACGCAGGTCCCACTCCTGGCTCCACACTGTGGCATCCCGAGGAAATCATGATCACGCGCAGGGGCTAGGGTTCGACTCCCAGCAATTCTTTACATTTTAGGAGTGGCTTTCCCGATGCGGTTTGGACCCGTTGCGCCACTCGACTCATCGGTGAGCCGCGGTGGCTGAAGGTGTAGAGATGTATGAATCCCTTACACTCGGATCGAGAGATCGAATACCAGCTTCCCGTTCTTTTTGTCTGACTATACGGTTCGGACCAGAGGCTTCAAAGGCTCCCCTTCGCACGGTGCCGTCCATGGGCCGTGGTGGCCGAGTGCGCAGAGGCGCTGGTTCCCGAATGCGGGGTCCGGGGTTCGATTCCAAGTTCGGTATCGAATATTTTGACCAAGCTTGCATCACAAGAAGGCGGTTCAAGTATACAAAATCGGCCGGCGTTCAGTGTGCCTCTCATAGCCCAGTGGTTCCGCTGCTGGGCAGGGTGACGCAGACTCCTGAGTACCAGTAGCATGGCCCCTGAGTGGGAAGGGGGCCGGGAACGAAACCCGACTACTGGGAAAGGTGGCAGCCTGGCCTACTATGAGAGGACTCCTCCACATCACAGTTGACGTGACCAATGACGGGGCCACTGCGGTTTAACTCTGAGGTTGCTCCTGTGATGAGATGGGGGAACCACTGGTCCACCAAGCCAGCGGGGAAGAGGGCCGGTTCGCCGGGGTGCCCTCTTTCGCTGAAATTTTCTTTTCAGTGTTGATTTTAGTTCTGTTACTCTAAGTACATTTCGGGGTAAAATGTCTTTGGATTGTCTTTGGACATAGACCGTTGCTCTGTCTCCCTCGCACTGCGGCGCGTCCACTGCAGGTGCGAGAGAGACACCGCGTTCAAGCTACGCAGTGCAGCTCACGTGCGTCGGCGTGATGCATGTCGAATCCACGTCGGTGCGGTACATGGACCGTCTCACGTCCAGCGTGGCGGGGCCGGCAGGGCGGTACCCTCCACCATAAAGGAAGGAGAAAGTGCCAAGGACGCTGCAGGAGGCCCTGCTAGGACCCAACGTGAACGTGAACGTCTGGCACGACTCAATGTGTATGGTGTACGCACCGCACGTGTGTGAGTGTGTGCGAGTGGATGCCAGTGTGGTACAGCGTCTCGCCTCCATTAACATTTCACTCGCAGCTCGCAGCCAACGGGGAAATCAACGTGTCCCGCACCGCGTGTCACTTCCCGACAAAGGCGGGTGTAGGGCTGACGCGGCTGACGTCATGCCGACGCCGTGCTGACGCTGACGGGCGGGTGCAGGTCATGGACCCCCGAACCGCGATTCGTGGAGTCCTAGCTCTAATTCTCATTATTTTTTCGATTGCTGGCGGTTCTACGGCGAGTGTACCGACGCCGCGACACACCGGCACTGGCACAGGCCTTCATGCCGTGCCCCAGGTGGAAAGGCCGCCGGCCGCGGGACGGAGTGGTCCGTTGCCAAATGGGTGGGCGAAACGGCGAAACGGAACACGAACAGGCAAGCGGTCTGGGCCCACGGCGCACAGCGGCACGGCTCTCGCGGCGTAGGGCACCGGGCGCGGACCACGCAGCCTCCGCGACTCCCCCTGCCCCTCTCCCCGCGGCACAAAGGTTCATTTAGCTCGGCGGTCGGGGCGCCCGCGGCCGTGTTGCCCTAGCGGGGGGCGGGGAGCAGCCCGACGCGGGCCGAGTGTGCCTTCGGTGCCTTCGCGTCCTGAACACCTCCTGAGCTTCCCGAACCTCAAGGTGCGTGTCTGTCCGTGTGTTGCAGCCATCAAGACGCTCGAGTCGCTCAACGCCCGCATCGGCGCTGACCTGGACGGCGCCCTCCCCTCCGAGCACGCCGTTCACCATGTCGGGGCCCTGGCAGCGAACGGGGCTCCGGCCCTGGACGGGGCCCCCGAGGCGGCCCAGGACGCCCAGGACGCCGGGCAGCAAGAGGCAGTGCTCGTCCTCTCCTCCATGGCGCTCATGAGGAGGCTGCTCGTGGACGCCCAGGTAAGGCCGCCTCACTTCCACTTCCGTGTCAAACGGTCCATCCATGAAGTTAAGCTGAACGGCAATCGGGTCGCATCGGCGCGACGCCCGCGCGTCTTTCAGCGCCCCTCCCCCTCCCCTTCCTCGCCGCGGGGGACACCGACAATGCTGCCAAGCTGCACTGCACACTAAAGGCCACCGCGCGCCGCCACGCCGCGTTCATCGCATCACTGCGGCCGCGACGCGCCGTCCGCGCCGTCCGTCCGCGCGCTTCGGAGCGCTTCATTGTTGGAGTCAGCGGCGGCGCGGTGCACCGCGGAACGCGGAACGCCGCCGCGGGGCGTGGTGGGGCGTGGTGAGGCGTGGTGGGGCGCGCGGGACGCCCCACCCCGCCCCGCTCGCCACGGCTCAGACCGCGCGCCCCGCGCCGACCCCGGCCAGGGCGTCAAGGCGCCCATTCTGTTGGCATTATTATATTCGCCTTCGCCCCTCTCGGAGCACTCGGAGCGCCTGAAGGCCTGCGTAGCACTGCGTAGTGCGGAGTGCGAACCTCGCCCCTCGTCCTTCTAGTGCCCCACGCCCACCCGCCAGCGACCAGCGCCAGCGACATGCCGTGCATCAGCTTCCCATTCAGAGTAAACGAGGCCGCGACCGGCCCTTGCCCTCGCCGACGTACAAAGTTAGCGCTTTTTGATTGGCCGCGGAAAGGGGAGCGGATAAGCTGGCGAACACCGCGCAGGGCGCAGGCCAGGACGGCCGCGGATCGAAGGAGAGCCGACGGACGCTTTTCTCGCTTCGCTCCCTTCTTGTAGCGCCGAGATGCAATCTGCAGGGCTGTGACCCCGGGCCGCCCGAGACGTGGTCCAGGCCGCGTCGCCGCGCCGCATCGCAGAAGGACTCGATAGCTGCCCGCCTCCGCCTCCTCGCCCCGCGTCTCGGTGCTCGTTGCGGCAGGACATGGTCGAGGAAGTCGTCTGGCTGGACCAGTTTTGTGCACCGCCGCCACCGCCTCGCATTTGCTGGCCTTCCTGTCGTCGCCCTGCTGTCCTCGGGGCGCCCGCCCCGCCACGCCCCGCCACGCCCCGCCACGCCCTAGCGAGGGCCGAGCAGGACGCTTGAACGGCTAATCGCGTCGCGTAGAGCTGAAATGGCGAGACCAGGCCGCTCCGAGGCTACAGTGTTGCCAGACGACCTGCTTGGCCTGGACCACGGTCCACGGTCTGCCCGCATTCCCTAACCCTTAGCCTTCTTCTGCTTGCAGTCCAAGTTCCGTAGAATGGTAGAGGAGAACCGTCAGCTCGGCGAGAGAATCGACGGGGACGTGCAAACCGCCCACGAGGACGTGGCCGCCCTCCGCGCCGAGCTGAACGACGCCTCCCAGTGCCTCGGCGGCATCGTCTCCATGGGCACCATGGCCACCATGGCCACCGCGGCGCAGACCAAGGCCCTCGGGCCGCCCGCCACCGTGGTGCCACCCCCGCCGCCCACCGGGCAGCCGCCCACCGCCCCCTCCACCATCTCCACGTCGTCGTCATCCTCGTCGCCGTCCTTCTCGTCGTCCGTGGCCAACTCGTCGTCGAGCCGGTCGTCCGACTCCCCCGTCAGCAAGGTGAGCAGGCAGTGCCCAAGCCCCCACTTCGTTTTCCCTCCGCTCCTGTCTCACGCCTTCCTTCTCCTCCCGCAGCCCAACACTTCCCCTGACGGTCCCGAGACGCCCCGGCGGGTCCCCCCGAAGGTGATTCCCCGGAGGCCACACTCGGGCGGAGACGTCCCCGACGGCGGCGCGCCTTCCAGGTCGACGACGAACAAGCCGCGCACCGACTCGGCGCCCATCGCCATGTCCGAGTCAGAGGCGTCGTCCCCCGAGAAGGACTGCGTGCGGCCCGCGGGCACCAGCCCCGGGCCGAGCCCCGGCCCCAGTCCCGGCGGCCCCAACTCGGCCGCCCCCATGACCAGCGCCTTCTCGGAGCGCATCGGTAAGAAGCTGTCCGCCGTCGGCGCCGAGGCGGACAAGTGGGCTGGCGCGAGCGCGGCGGGGTCGGCGTCGGCGGCCAACTCGCTGTCCCTGTCGCCGCTGGACCAGCTCATCGTGCGGCCCGCCAGCCCCAAGCCCGGCCGCTCCTCGGCACAGACCGACTGTGAGTGTGCGCATGGGCCTGGCTTGGCTGGACAAACTTAGGATTAATCTTAAATTCCAACATAATGAACTTGCTTGATTTCCTATTAAAAATGTGGGTTTACGCGCCCCGACCAACCTCTACTTTCTTCAGATGCCGCATGGCGACAACGCGTTTCCGTCCTCTCCTCTAACGTGCCCGTCTTTGCCTCCAGGCGCCATCAGCCCCGGCGAGCCCTCGCACGTGAGCACGCGGCTGCGGCTGGAGAACGAGCGCCTCAAGCGGGAGGTGTCGGAGCTGCGCAAGCTGGTGTCCGCCTCCGGGCTGTCCCCGGGGTCGTCGGCGTCGTCCTCGGCCGCGGCAGTGTCCCCGGGACCCACGTCCGGCGCGGGCGACGCGGCTGCCACCTCCGGCGGCGAGGGCGCGCCCGGCTTCTCCGTGATCGCGGACTGCGACGGCAGCCTGGTGCGCGTCCGCAGCCTCGAGACCGAGCTGGCGCAGACCAAGGAGGCCCTGACGGGTGAGTGCTTGCCCCTCGCCTTGCCCGCCAGCACGGCGCGCTGCCCGACCAGCACCTCCACTGTTTGCTGTTCTCGTCTGTTGCAGCGCTGAAAGCCGATCGAAAGAGACTGAAAGCCGAGAAGTTCGACCTGCTCAATCAGATGAAGCAGCTGTACGGAACGCTCGAGGACAAGGAGAAGGAGCTGAGGGACTTCATCCGCAACTACGAGCAGGTGCGTGCCAGTGCGTGCCACTGCGTGGTCTCGTTCTCGTCTCGAGGGTGGTTTTTCGCGTGTGGCTGGACTTGAACCCGGACTCTGCCCCGCAGCGCATGCGCGAGTCGGAGGCCTCGCTGCAGCAGCTGTCCACGGAGCGCGAGCAGCGGGAGCGCGAGCGGTGGAGCCTGCTTCGCCACGCGCGGGACGAGGCCGAGCGCTCCCTGACGCTGGCGGCGCAGCTGCAGCACAAGGAGCAGCAGCTGCAGCAGCTGCAGGACCAGCTGAGCGACGCCCGCGGCGAGGCGCGCCGCTCGGGATGCCTGTCCGACCAGGAGTCCGTGGCGTCGCTGTCCGCGTCCCGCCTCAACGGCCTGTCGTCGGGGACCCTCGTCTCGCGGGACCGGGACCGCGACCGCGACCGCAGCGACCGGGACTCGCGGGTCCTGGGCGACCGCGACCGCAGCGACCGGGACCGGGGGTCCTGCTCGGCCGACTCGGGGGTGAGGGGGTCCTCGGACAGGGAGTCGGGCGCCACGGGCAACCTGTCCGACTCGACCACTGACGGTGAGCGCAAGCGAACAGGTACTGTACTCGACGCGAAGGGCGGCGGGCCGCGCGGCGCGCTGGGGTGCAGGCTGACGGGGTGTTTCGCTGCGCAGGCACGCCGACCATCACGGTGGAGGGCAACATGGACATGGACTCCATCTCCGTCGTGTCGTCCGTCACGGCGCCTCACATGTACCAGCACAGTGAGTGTCCCTCCGTAGGCCAAGCCGTGGGCCCGTCGACGCGGCGCTCCCCGCGCTCATCCAGGCACTCTCCCTCCCCAGACGCCAGCACCCCCAAGGACTGCAGCCCGTCGCTGTCGCCGCTCAACGCGCACAGCTTCTCGCGGTCCATCGACAACTCGGCGCTGTCGCGCTCCGTCGAGCAGCTCAGCTCGCCCATGGAGCTGGAGCCGCGGCGCAGCAAGCGCAGCATGGGGCTGGGCGCGCGCGGCACCTGGGGCTCCATCAGCAGGGTGTTCGCGCGCAGCAGGCACCGCAAGGTGGTGTCGCCCACGAGCCAGGACGGTAAGACTTGGTTTCCAGCCCCACGCGGCCCCTCTTCCTGCCGCACTGCACCGCTAGCATAACGCCCCGCCCGCTCCTTTGCAGAGTCCTGCGGCGAGTCCGTGCGCTCCTGGTCGCCGCTCACGGAGGAGGGCTACGCGGAGAAGCTGCGCCTGCTGCGCGAGGCCGCTGCCGTGCCCATGGAGCGCTGGCGGGCCAGCACGGTGCTCGCCTGGCTGGAGATCGCGCTCGGCATGCCGCAGTACGGGCCGCGCTGTGCCGAGAACGTCAAGAGCGGCAAGGTGCTGCTGGAGCTGAGCGACCTGGAGCTGGAGTGCGGGCTGGGCATCACCCACCCCATGCACCGCAAGAAGCTGAGGCTGGCCATCGAGGAGCACCGCCACCCCGCCCTCGTCCGCTACCCCTGCATCGCGCAGCTCACCCACACCTGGGTGTCGTCGGAGTGGCTGCCTGACCTCGGCCTCGCGCAGGTGAGCTCGGGTTCAAATCTCGGCAGTGCCCATTTTCCCCTTCGAGTTATCAATTTATCGAACTCTTTTTCCTACCTCTGCCGAGCAGTACTCCGAGAACTTCGCGGCCAACATGGTGGACGCGCGAATGCTGGACCACCTCTCGAAGAAGGAGCTGGAGAAGTTCGTGGGCGTGACGCGCAAGTTCCACCAGGCGTCCATCGTGCACGGCATCCACCTGCTGCGCATGGTCAAGTACGACCGCCAGGCGCTGGCCGTCCGCCGCCACCAGAGCGACCACGTCGACGCCGACCCGCTCGTCTGGACCAACCAGCGGTTCATGAGGTGGGCCAGGTCCATCGACCTGGCGGAGTACGCGGACAACCTCAAGGGTGAGTGCGAGGTCGCTGATTCAACCCTGACACTCTGTTTTTGTCGTCGTTTTATCTCTGACGGTTCGTTCCCCCTTCCCGCCCGCAGACAGTGGCGTCCACGGCGCCCTGGTCGTGCTGGAGCCGTCCTTTAACGGCGACACCATGGCGACGGCGCTCGGCATTCCGCCGTCCAAGAACATCATCCGGCGGCACCTGGCCGCCGAGCTGGAGGCCCTCGTCCTGCCCGCGAGGTACGTCATCTTCTGCCAGATGGAGGAGTACCAGAACGAGATGGCGCGCGCGGAACGCGCCATGCACGGCGTCAAGAACATCCAGCGGTAGCCGAGCACGCCGACGCACGCCGACGGCGGGAGCAGGCCGCGCCACCGTTAAAGCTTAAGGCCCGATGCTCCACCCGATTTGTGGAAGAGAAATAATGAGAAAGTCACACGGCGTCGTCGCTTTCTGGGGAAAATTTTTCATTAACGAATAGAGACCAAAATCTTAATTAACTTCTTCTTTCTCGTTTTCGTTGTATAATTAAAAGCTTTCTTCTTAGTGGGGAGCCCCCTCGTCTGGGACGCGGAGTCAATAACAGGCGACGGCGAGCTTGTGTAGCACTCGTGCGACTTGATGTCAAAATGTGCCTAAATTTCTGATGAATAATATGTATAATTATTGGTGCTTCTTGTAGGCCGGACGGACCACTCTGTTTGAATAGAGCCTTTAGTCAGGATTAATGTAAAATATTTATAAATACTCACCTATCATATTGTGTAGATAGACCCATTATCACATCATTTACTACTACTGTTATGTTGTCATTTTAGCACAAGGAAGTTGCGTTGTTGCGCGTTTGTGATGCGTTCTAGTCCCAACTGTGTGTGTGATGCTGTGATTCTGAAGAATGTCTTGTTCTATTTTGAGAAGTGGGAGATTATTTTTAAAGTGCTTCCGTAACAGGTTCCTCGTGGCGTGCGGGGTACGGCCCAGCTCTTCAATGCATGAGACAATACTCTGTAGCGATAATTGTTTTTCTGTCGTGGCGACTCAAAGGCGCCCGCCCGCGGTTCGATTGTTACTTACTCCAGAAATGTTACGCGTCAGTCAAAATCAAAGAATGTCACGTTTCGTTTTACCAAATATTGCCATATCAGTCCAAAGTCCACATCGGCCTTATCGTAAGAAATAAGATCGAAACAACGTGCAAAACCAAATAGCATTTTTCCCCGTTTTCTCCAGTTGTTTCGTGACTCTTCTATTTCTCTTTATTGTGAAAGGTGTGTGAGCTTTGTTTGACAAGTTGCCATGCCAATTCATTGTATACCCTGTCGCCTTCATTAGGGAAGTTTAGCGGTGTAGGTAGGGCAGTGCGCAAATCTGTTTTTCCGAATTTCTGCGGCTTATGATTAGTTCTTTTGACGAACTAGAACTTCAATTTAGGATTTAATTGGATTTTGTCTCTTTTAACCAACTCTTTGCGCTGGCTGTACTAACGCTTGGCCATCGATGTTAGCTGGCACGCTGCCTCGTGGTTTTGCACCGCATGTTTCATTTCATCGCCACGCCCTTCATGCAGGATTACTTTCACCGCCGTGCCTTGCATGCGTGCGATCGTTTCCAAATTCATCTTCCATTTTCGTTTCCAAATTCATTTTCATTCATACCGAGTTTTGCGTAGCCACTCACTCACGTTCAAACTCCCGAACGCGTCGCCAACTGCCCCGTCTCCCGGCCATACCCCGCGCTCCAGGGTCTGAGGGGAATGCCAGCGGCGCGTCGCTACCCCGCGCTGCCGCCGCGGACGCGTGGAGTATCTCCCGTCCGGTTTAAGGACCGCCGCCCGTTCGTAACGCCAACGCCCCGATCGTCTTTGTGCGTCGATCGCGACGCCTTGCCGCTACCCCGCGCTGCCGCCGCGCTGCCGCCGCGCTGCCGCCGCGGACCGACCGCGGAGTATCTCCAAGCATTGTCTGACGCTGGCCGTCCATGTCCTGTTTCTAGAGCTGCCTTTGAGCATTACGTGCGCGTGACCGCTGCGGAGCGGCGCCGCGCCGAGAGGCTGATGGGCGGGGGCTCCCTGGGGCGCAGCTTCTCGCGGTCCTACGCGGGCTCCCTGTCCGGCTCGCTGGCCAGCTCGCTGGCGGGGGCGGCCGCGGCGCTTCCCCAGGGCGGCCACCCCGGCGGCCACCCCGGCGGCGGCTCGGGAACGCTGCCGCATGGCTCTGCCCTGGCCGCCGCCCGCGAGGTCGCCGCCGCGTCCCTCGACTCGCCCATCGTGCGCGCCGCGTCGCCGGCCGGCCTCAAGCGGCTGCCAGGAGGCCCAGGAGGCCCAGGGAGCACCCACGGCCCCCCCGGCGCGGACCCCGACAACCTGGACGCCAAGGACCGGCGTCGCGCCAGCCTGCGAGTAAGGAGGCGCCTGCACAGCCTGCTGAGCTGGGCCTAGACTGGCGCTAGACCTGGAGCTGGGCCTCGAGCACCAGCATCACGCTTGCCGTAGCAGTAGCGCGCGGGGATCGCCCCTGGCCGCCCCGGTGCCGCTTGCCGCCCGCCTCCCCGGAGTGGTGCTCGTCACTCCTGGACGTCACTTTCAGAGGTGACGAGCCTGACTCCGGCGGAGCGGAGCCAAGAGGAGCAGCGGAGCGGCCCTTGGCTTCAAACCCCACGCTTGTTCATGTTGAATGTTCTTGTTACATGTGTGTGGTGTGTTCCATAGATTTTAATTTACGTTCTTTGTTTTTGTTGTGTTTTGTTAATTTGCTGTTTCGGCTTCTGACTCACTGTTTCTGCTCGCCGAGCAAGCGTTCGCTTTGTGTGTTGCTTTGTGCATGGACATAGGCGCTAGCGCTAATATCCGTTACTTGTCTCGACAGAATTTCTCCCTGTAAAATGACAGTCGCGAATGTCTTTCAGAAAGGTGATTTTGTTGCACTGCCCTTCTCATGCCATAAGCAGATTTTAACTCCCTCGAATTCTCATAGAATTGTTCCTTTACGCAGTGTTAATTGTGTTCTATTTTCCATGAAAATGTGTCCTAGTTTGTTCTGAGAGCCTCTGAAGCATATTGTGGGAGGGCGCTATCAGTTTTCCCGTGTGGGGTAGTTGTGGCTCTTTTTTTCGATCCATGTTACTTTTCCCATTATTGCAACGACCGTATACGGGCGTTGTTCTTTCTATTCTTATACACTTACGTTACTTGTTCTGTATCAACGGAATGTTACTCACCAGCGGGAATAAAGTGATAAGAACTGCTTACTGTTTTGCTGTTACATTTTTGTCTGATGTCCATTGCCGACGTCCCTAGAATCTCCATGCTTCCCTGTCCGTGCCATGAAAGTATCATTGGTCATTTAGGTTGCATCCCCCTTAGCAGATTCAACAGAGTCATCGCAGCAGGTAAGAAAGCTTGCATCGTAAACTGGACTTCCAAGGAAAAGGAAAAGACAGAAGTTTCGATAAATTTCCCAAGACATCTTTTTATTTGTATGCTTTCAGTTTTCGTTTTACAAAAAATAACGCTTGAGCATGCTTGCGATGGTAATCTAGTACACTACCCGCCTTGATAAATCTCAGTATGAAATAATTGAAAACTTACAATTTTTGTTCCCTGATGTTTGTAAAACCTGATGTTTGTCTCTGTTTCTATTTACAGACATACAGTTTACTGTATTTGAAGAAGTTTTCCACGTGGCGGAGCTCACAGGTAAGTCCCTTCATTGGGATACACGCTCAGCGACTTCTTTTGACGGGGCAGTCTTGTAACCGGCGTCCTTGGCGGTCGTCTTGCAGGGTTCGCTGAGCCGCGCGCTGGGCCTGGGCTCCAGCAAGACGTCGTCGCAGAACCACCACCACCACCACCGCGACGGCCGCGACCGGGACGGTCGGGACGGCCCCATGCTGCACCGGGACGTCCACCGCGACGCCCACCGCGACCTGTACCGCGAGGTGCACCAGCAGCGCGTGGAGGCGCCCCGCGACGCCGCGGCCCGCCGCGAGCATCAGCTGCAGCTGCAGCACCAGCTCATGCAGCAGCACCAAGTCGTGATGCGCGAGTCCCGGGACCGAGGCGACCGCGGCGACCGCGGCGAGGCGCGCCACCACACGCTGGCCAACCACCGCTCGTCGCACCACCACAGCCTCGCGTCGCCGACGTCGTCCTCGGAGAACGGCGGCTCGTCGTCGGCGTCGCCCTCCATGTCCTCGCCGTCGACGGGCGGCGGGGGGCCGGCCGCCGCCGACGTGGTGGGCCGCCTGCAGGGCGGCGACAGCAGCAGCTCGGGAGACACCTACAACGACCCCCCGCTGTCCACGGCCAGCGCCGCGGCCGCGTCGCCCGGCCTGCCCGACAAGGCCGTCTCCACGGCCAAGCGGCGCCACCGCCGCGTCAAGTCCATCGGCGACATCGACTCGGTCACCGTCACGCCCGTGTGAGAGCCGTACTCAAAGACTTAATTCGAGAAGCCTCGAACGCGCCACCCTGCCGCTAGCCCTTTAGTGCCCTGTAGCTCGCTTGCCCGGCTTGCGAGTACGAGTTCGGCCTGGGGCCTGGAGGCCTTGCTGGAGGCGGCCTGGAGGCCCGGAGGGAGCGCCACACTCAAGACTGGAGCGGAGGGCGCAGACCGGCTCACGTTCGCGCTTCGCGCGGGGAGGTTGGCCCACCCGCCAGACGGTGTCGACTCAAACTCACGAAGCTCGTGTCACTGAAACTGGATCCCAACCGAAAGTAGAGCTTCTCAGCCGTGATTTAGAGTAATCAATTTGTACATAGATTAGCTATCGGTTACTGTTAAAACCTGAAGATAATTTTTAGCCAAATACGCGGTGATTGAAGAGAGCAGTCGTTGGAAAAGCGGTGTATTGTTTTTGCTCTGATATTTCAAGCGGTACTACATGCTTGGTGATGTGTCTATATCCCACACTCATAATTGATATTATCTTACGCATTTACTGTGATGATATAAAACTGTGTTCATTTTCATTATTATTATGTTTCCTGAATTTACGTAAGTGCAATATTAAGTGATATTATTTATTTGTCTGCTTTCAGCGTACATGTCCTATATGTACACATACTATTTACGTACTAGGTATCATATGTGAACCACTGTTTGGTCATATCATGGTTAATTTATGGTTTTTTGTTGCCATAGTGAATATGGCAGCGTATTGTTGGTGTTCTATGTTTTTTGCCAATCTTGTTTGTATTTTGTATCTGTGCATTTTAACTAAAACTAAGATTCTTGTTCCACGCCCTGCTTTTACAGTATCTTAGCCTTGAAATTTCCATAATAGTGTGAAATTGTTTAGGCGATAAACCCCTTCCCCCCTTCTTGATTTGTGCACTTCTCTGTAACTGTGGACCACCGCCCATCTCGCCTTATAGCTCCCCTTAAAGTCGCAGCCTATCCTTAGTCCCCGCTCTTCCTTGCCATCATGTTACCCATGATTCATTCCAACCAATCCTCTTTGCGCTGTGCACCGAAAATGGAGAAAACAATTAACAATAAACTTCGAACAACATGCGTTGCGCCTTGTTTCGTTTTTCCTTCTTCCTCTCCTCTGTCATTTCTTCACGAGCAGACAATGTGCTGACCTCCGGTGTCCACCGCCGCCACCGTGACATGAGTCACCCCGCCGAGCTGCCGGCTGAGTCCGAACCGTGCTTTCGTCGCGGTGCCTCTCTCGCACCAATGGGGTGTCGCGTGAGGGTGCGAGGGAGACAGAGCGACGGAGCACTGTTCGGGGTGAGCCTGCAGGCCGTGGAGTGCGCGCTCGGCTCGGTCCGGTCAGGGTTCGCTCGGTTCTCTCGGTTTACGAGCGTCGCAGCCAGACCGTGATTCATAGAGTGGATTGGGAAAGGACCAGTCCCGTCGCCCCACCGCGCCGCGCCACGCCGCCGCGCCCAGCAGGCCGAGGTCGTGCGGGCTGCGCGCCGTGCTGCCGCCCTGGCCGCCCTGGCCGTCATCGTGCCGGACATGCCGCCGGCCGGACGCGGCGCTGCGGGGAACTCCGTCAACTCCGACCAGCCCGGCATGTCAAGGGTGCAGGGCAGTGCCGGGTCCAGGCCGCCCTCCGCCGCCAACATGGCTGTGTCGGCAGCCGGTCTGCGGTGGCGAAAGACCGCGCGTCCAGCCAATCACGTCCACGCTCTTGTCGGCGACGGCGTCATTCGTCGCACAATGGCTTCGAGTCAACAAACCTCGGCCGCCGATATGAAATTTGGCTTCTCCGAGGCGACCTCCACGACACTGGCGCGAACTACATAACACGGCCCGGCCTGGCGGTCTGACCTTCTCGCTCCGCCCCGGCATGAAGCTCGCTCGTTCATTTCGAATGAGTCGAGGCGGCGTGTAAACGCACTTTACGAGATCCCGACGGACTGCCGTGCTCTATGGACCGCGACGTATTACTGCCGGCGCCTCACGGCCACACACGCAGCGGCAGGGCGGTTTGTTGGCTTGTCGACCCGGGGCCGCGGGTTCGATTCCCCCATTTACATATTTTTGAACGGTCACCGGGAAGGTGAGTCCGGGATCGCGATGTAAACGCGACGGTCCTGCCCTGGCGTCCTCATCCGACTTGCTAAACGGATGTCGCACAGCGGGCGCTCGCGCCCCCCACCCAGGCTGGCGTGCGAGCTGGACACTCGGGGAGTCTGTTCTCTTTTTGGCGACCGATCATCTTCTCCATTCGAGTAGTTTTATTTGCCCGCCGCGAGAACTCGTTAGTGTCGGTGGGCTTTTGCCGCGGCTTCTGCCCTGTAAACGGCGAGTCGATGACCCGGACCAGGATGACGGCATCGACGAGGACCTCGTTGGCACGCCTCGACGGCACGGAGTAGTACGCCGAGGCGCGGCCAGGCACGGCCAGGCACGGCGCCTGGAGCCTGGCTGAGCGCCCGGCGGGTAGGCACCGTCACGACACTGGTGCATCGCGGAGCGCTGGGCTGCCTACCCGCACGGCGCTCCACCTTGGCGGGCCGCCCACGCTCGAACTCCGGGAGGACGCCACCGCCGCCACCGGCTGCTCGGCCCACACGGATACGGCAGCCACGGCAGCCACGGCAGCCGCGCTGTGCGTAAGAGGTGAGGCAGACCACCATCGCGGGAGCACTACCGCCTGCTCTTCTCGCGTTGTTGTTTTTTGGCCGTGCCATATCGATCTCCGCCAGCGCGTCGGAGTGCTGACAGTGGGCTGACTCCGAACCGCCACGCTTTCGTCGCTCTGTCTCCCTCGCACTCGTGGAGCGTCCCGTGGAGGTGCGAGAGAGACAGAGCGACGCAGCGCCGTTCGCAACCAGCATGCCGGGCCTTGGCGGTCGCACGGTCCCACTCCCAGTAATGGCGCTGAGGCTACTTACTGCGAGTGCCGGCCGACGGGGTGTCAGAGGGCACGCCCCGCCCCGCCCCGCCCCGCCCCGCCACGCCACACTACGAGGCGGAGGTTCATTCATCGTCCACCAATGTCGCTGAAAAGCACCGGCCAAAGTTAATCGCGTCAGGCGGGGCGTGGCGGGGCGGGGTCGGGTTGCGCCGCGTGAAACGCCGCGACCTCCAGGGCCCGCAGGCTGCGGCGCGCGGCGCTGCGGCAGACCGACACAGTGGACCTGATATTAACAGCCGCCGAGCCGCCGTCCTGACGTGCGGCTTTGTGACAAAGTGCCCCGCCGTCCCCTTCCCCTTCCCCGCGTTGAAGTGCCTAATGATGCAGCCCCGTGCCGCGGCCCGGCGCGGCGCGGCGTCCTTGGACGGCCTTGGGCGGCCTGGCGCGGCCTTGGGGCAGCGGCGGAGCCAAGGCGTGGCCGAGGCGGTCCAGGACGGCGCCGGGGACTCTCGAGGCGCCGCCGAGCCGCCGCCTCTCCGTCCGGAACCTCATCGGCGAGGCCCACTTCCGGTGTTGGGCCCGGACGGGCCTGACCCTCGACGGCCGGCTTGGCTCCAGTTCATCCAGTTCCTCAGTTCCTCCAGTTCCAGGCCGCAAGGGCCGGACGAGCTCCCAGGCCTTACCGCAGAGCGGGCTGCCGCACCTCACGTCATCGCTCTGTCTCTCTCGCACCCCCACCGGCCGCCCCATGAGTGCGAGAGAGACAGAGCGACGAAAGCAGTGCTCGGAATCAGCCTCCTGGGCGGGGCAGCGCGGCAGCGCCAGGGAGTGCACCGGGAGCATCTGCCGGCGCAGCGAGTGCGGTGAGTACCCGGACCGGACTGTAAACTGAAGGTCAAAGTCCGGGCCGGGCCGCCGGAGTGCCTGTGCGTCCGGTACGCGCGCCTTTTTTATTACCAGCCCTGCCCGCCCAACCCCCGCCGACGTCGAGAACGGCTGCGCGCCCCGCCCACGCCGTGCACGACCTCAGCGCGGACGGACGGCCACCCAGCAGCTTACGCCCCGCGGCCACGTTTTGGCGAACGCAGTGACGACACGGACGAGCCGTTTTGGGCGGGGCACGCACAAAAAGGAAAACGGGCAAAGTGCAGCGGTGGGGATCGAACGAACCAGCCGTTGGAGACAACGCTGCACAGTGTGCCGCACACACGACCGCCACCGCCATCTTGCCGAGGTGAACGCCGCCGACGCATGATCGATCGATTCACCTTAATGCCCAGCGGGCGCGACAGGCACCGCCTTGCCAAAATCCTTGCCGAGGTCCTTCCGCGGCGAAAATTAGCAAGCGGCCGGCTGAGGCTGACCCACTGCCGCCGGGGGCGCGCGGCGCGTGGCGCGTGCTGCGGGTGACCTCCCTTCCGTGTCCGCCCTGAGCACCGGGCAGGCTGACACACTGCGGGCTGCTCGCTAACTGTGCTTTCGTCGCCCTGTCTCTGTCGCACTCGCTGACCGGCCCAAATTATGGCACCGCCCTTGCGCGCGGCACGCGCCACAGGGACAGGCGGCCCTGGCATTTGGCTCACGGCGCGCTGTGAGGGCTGTCGATCGCACAGCTGTCCGCCAGGCTGCCCCGCCACGACGCGCCACGTCGTCAAAGCTGTAGACGCGGCGTTCGGCGCGCGCACGGCGGCACGGCGCATACACGCAAAACAGTGGCCGCCATGTACGGCTTGTACGCGATGCCGGCGATGGCCTGCCCGGCGATTAGCCGCGCGGCCCCCGGGAGGAGGATGCCGAAGGGGCGCACCGTCCCTCTGTCTCCGTCGCACTCACGGGACGCCCGAAGGGGTGCGAGAGAGACGGGGCGAGACTCTCCGGAAGCCCTCGCCAGGTGGCCGCGGGGAGCGTCGCCGGCGGCCTGTGCTTGGCGTTGAGTAGGAAGCCTTGTACGAGAGACTAAAACGTGCACTTCATAACCTTCTTTTTCGAATCATGTTTTTTTTTTGCGCGGTATCATTTTTACAGGGTTCGGTTACCCATACTGCTCGGATGTGCGCGATGTGCGCGATGCGCGCTGCTCGGCCGACGTCCCGCCCGCCCTCCGCCACGCCCCACCGCCGCCGCCGCTTGGATGAATATTCGGCCATTGTTGGCTCGAGTCGGCGCGGCCAGGGCTGGCCAGGGCCCGGGCCGCCTCGTATCGCGGCGCCGCATCGTCGAGGCCGTGCTCGTCCTCGGCCTTAGTCCGCCAAGTGGAACAATCGGAACAATGCTGCGGCATGTCCGTCCCCTGCAGGGCACCGCAGGGCCTAGAGTCATACACCACTCGGCTCGCTTTGCATACGCGGAGGCCAGTTTTTAAATCAGCAGGCTGCCTTCGTCACTGCGTTGCTCTGTAAGTGTGCGAGAGAGACAGAGGGACGATCTGCACGCCGCGCGGATTCTGGATCCTCATTTAGTAGAGTATCTGTAAACGCCCACCTCACCACCAACACCGCATTGCTGACAAACCACAGTTTTCTTGGCGATTTTTGCCGCCCCTCCCTTGCCTGTCATCCATGTTTTCTTTCCACATTTCTCTTATCGGTTTGTTTTTAGCGCCGAGGTTCCCCCACCCCGCCGGCCCGGCCGTGCCCGGCCGCCCCTCGCGAAGTGACCAAGGCCGCCCGGGCCTGCCTGGACAGGCCGAGGGGCCGACGGGCCCCGGTCCAGCCGCACGCTCTTCGGTGACTCCTCGCGGGATGTAACATGCCGGCCTGCCGGCCTGCCGGCCCAGCAGAAGAGGGGGGTCCGCGACAAAACCAGTTCGCCGGGACGGTCCAGATGAGACTCTCCGCAGGCCGACTCCGAAAGTGCTTGGCCGCTCTGTCTCTCTCGCACCCGTGGGTCGAGCCGCGCTGTTGCGAGAGAGACAGAGCGACGAAGCACTTTTGGCCGCGCGTCCGCCGCGCCACACCTCGCGGGGACGGAGCAATCAGAAGAGTCGTGTCGTCGCTCTGTCTCTCTCGCACTCATGGGGCTCACCGTAAGGGTGCGAGAGAGACAGAGCGACAAAGCGCTCGGCTCCGAATGAGCATAGCCCGGCGATTTTTCAGCAGGAAGCAGCGCGAGCAAGATGGCCAGGACGGCCCGGACTGGGGGAATTAGAACGAGAGGATCGGGAGGAACTAGAGGAGGATCGCGCCGCTCATATTCCGCG